CGCTCCTTCTCGGAGGGCCCTGGTCAGTCTAGCCAGGGGAGACCCCTGGGATCTCGCCTCCTTCGGGGACTCTCCCGGCAGCTTGGGCCGGGCACGGCAGGGAGCTGCGTCCTGGGCCGCCGCGCCCGCCCGCCCGCTCGTCTGCGCCGGCCGGGGGAGGCAGGGTGGAGAACGGACCCTCCTCCTCGCGCTCGCCCAGCCAACGGTCGCGCCGGCCGCTCGCCCGCCCGCCTCCCGGGCCCGCCCGCGCCGGGTTCCGCGTCTCCGTGGAGACCAGCCAAGCGCGGGGCCGCGATGGAGCCGGACCGGTGAGTCGCAGCGCTAACCTCGCCTCCCCGCCCCCTGCCCTGCCCGCAGGCGGCCTCTGGCGTCGGGACGGGGCGCCTCCGTGCAGGGCGGTGGGTGGCCGGAGCAGCCGCGCCCGCTTGCCGCTTGCAAGCGCCTGCCCGCCCGTGACCCGGCGCTCTCCCGTCTCTTCCCCGGCCAGAGCCCCGCCGCCGAGCCGCGGAGAGGTCGCCGCCGCCCCGACCAGCGCGGAGGAGCCCCGCGGGATCCCGGCGGAGACGGCCAATGCGGAGACGCCGCCGGACCCCGAGGCAGAGCTGCAGGCCGCAGCCACGCACCCGGTGGAGCTGCCGCCCTGCCACGGCGTGCCCGGGCCGTACCTGGGGGAGTTGCCGGCCACCGATCTGCAACCGCGCCCGCCCTGCGTCTCGGAGCCCCCGAGGGAGCCGCCCGTCCGCGGCCAGTGCCTGATGCACAACTGGCAGGAAGAGGTGAGGCTGCCTGCTGGGCTCCGCCGCCGCTCTGGCGGTAGGAGGTCAGGGCAGCGGCCGGACCCTGCCGCCCCTTAGCAGGCGGTCCCCAGCGCAGAGCCCGCCTGGCGTCCCGTGTGAGAGGAGCCCGGCCTCCCCAGGGGCTTCAGGGCAGCCCCTCCCCTCCTGCCCTGCAGAGCCCAAAGGGCAGGTAGGACCAAACTGGGGGGGGGGAGGAACTGGGGTGTGTGGCCCTGAGGGAGAGGAGCATCCTTTGTTTTGAATTTTGTTTCTCCCAGAGAGCCACCAACTGTCTGGACCAGGTGCCAAGACCCGAGTATGGCAGCGAGGGGTTTTTCCACCGGTTCGGGCATCCTGGCCTCCTCACCCTTGACTTCCTGGCCGGCACACCCACGACCACCACGATGAAGGACTCCTTCCCTCGGCCCGTGAAGACGGGGCTCCCTGTGCGAGGTGGGCAGCAGGGGGGGGAGAGGCTCCAGAGGCCTGGAGTGGAGGAACCACATCTGTGCAGGGAGCGAAAGGGCTTCTCTCCGGGTGGCTGAGATGCTCCTGCGGAGGATTAGCTAGGTGCAGTTCATTCTCCCCACCTGGGAGGCCCCTCATTTCCCACTCAGCTAGAAAGCCAGGCTGCCCCCCCCCCCCCCCCCAGTCCATCTCACGGACGCTGTTGTCCTTAGCAGCTGGAACCAAACTCTTTGCAATCCCAGCAGGAGTTGGGGAGTTCAGCTGCTCCCTTTGGGCCGCCAGGCAGGGCCTTCCTTGCTCTGGCTTTGGATCAGCAAACAGGCAGCCCTGATGTGCAACTGCGACCCCGCCCGCTTCTTGGCCTTTTCCCCCAAACAGCCCCCTCAGCACGTCTACGGATATTCACCCATCAGGTCCCAACGGGGCTTTTTCAAAAGGGAACTGGACTTCCTTGGGTTTCCCTTGAGGACTTTTGGCTTCTCATCCCAGGAGCTTCTTCGCTTCTGACTGAATGGTGGAACACGGAATGATTCATGTTCCTTGCAGTCATCTGGTCGTTGGCCCTCTTTCTGAGAGTCACTGAGGCGCCTTGGGAGACACAGATACCCTCCAAGTGGCCTCAGTGACTCTCAGAAAGAGGGCCAACGACCAGATGACTGCAAGGAACAACAATCCTTCTGTGCTCCACCATTCAGTCAGAAGCGAAGAAGCTCCTGGGATGAGAAGCCAAAAGTCCTCAAGAGAAAACCAAAAAAAGCCCCGTTAGGACAGCCCCCTGGGCAGCTTTTTTGATGGACAGCAATTCCTTCCCAAGATACTTCAAAAAGACTGTTTGGCTTCTATCTGCCCCCCCTCCCCCACTCTAAAGCATCTAGGGTTTATTTTTGAAATGACAGGCAGTGCTCAACTTACAACCGTTTGTTTAATGACTGCTCAAAGTTACAATAGCCCTTTAAAAAGTGACTGACCGCTGGTGCTGACGCTTGGAAGGGTTGAGGTGTCCTTGGGGCCCGTGGCTGCCCTTTGCAACTTTCCCAGAGAGCTTCCCCCAGCACGGCCGGTGGGAAAGCCGGAAGGGGAGGTTGCGACGTCTCTCTTAAAAGGATGGGTTTTCCTGTTCTGAGGATGGTCAGAAGTCGAGGACTTCCTGTACTGTGAAACTGTAGAGGGACAAGTTGCGGCCTGTGACGCGCTGCTCTCCTCTCCTTTGAATGGGAGAGTTTGCCTTCGGTCCGACTCCTTCGGGGGCTGAGCAGAGAGAAGCAGCGGCTGCAGCTGCTCCTAGGGAGGCCTTCAGGGTCCCAAAGCTGGAACGGATCCTGCCAGGCCTCCACAGTTCGGTGGGGGAGGGAGGGCCACATGGCTCAGTTGAGAATCCTAAGAATCAGCTGGCCTGTAGCTCAGCTGCAAAGGGGCCAGAGGGTCCCCGGGGCTGAAGCCGGCGGCTGCAGTCAGCCGGGGAGGCCCCGGGCGGCAGATCCTTCCGGACGGGGGGGGGGGGGGGGGGGGGGGGGGCTGGGTGGCATTCCTGTTTTTGAACAGACAGGAGCCCTCTTAGAATGGGCTGTGCAAGGTCCCCAAGGCCTCCGGGGAGCCACCTAATCCTGCCTCCATAAGGGGAAGCAGAGCCTCCTTGAGCCTTGCATGAAACCCAGAGGACGCTGGCATCGGCCTAGGGCCCGGCTCAGTTCAGGGCACCAGGTGCTGGCAGGGATGGCTTTCCCCCATCTCCCTCCCTGCGGAAGGCTCTGGGCCCGCCTTCCGGCCTCCATCCCTGGGCAAGGTCCTTCTGCAGCCTCTCTGTGGATGCCCCCCGCCCCACTTGTCCTTTCCTTTTCTCCCCAGGGAAACGGGAGGCCATGATGGAGCATCTCCTGTACCAGAAACACAGGTGAGCAGCAGGACCTTCTCCGCATCCCCCCCTCCCCCCCAGCAGCCAGGCATTGTTGTGGGCCTGTCAAGGTTAACGGGCGGCGGCCTCTTTCCTCCAACTGGTCTGGATTGTGAACTTGCTCAGCGACCCAAAGGCAGGGGATACTGGGGCACCAGTCCTGTGGGCCTGGCTTTGTGGGCATGGCAGGGGAAGGATACTGCAAAATCCCCCTTCCCTTCCCACCCCACTAGCCTGCTTTCCAGCTCCCTTCTCCTGGGCAGGGCAACCAAAGGAGAGCCAGCCGATCAGCTGGGACTCGATGGGAGGCAGAGAAGAGATGGGGTTGGCGAGGCCAGTCAGAGGCCGCATTGGCCGGTTCTCCAAACAACTCAAAATTTCCGCTACGGGTTCTCCAGAACTGGTCAGAACCGGCTGAATCCCACTCTGCCCTGGGGGTATCCAAGGCCACAGAGCTGCAGAAGGCAAGGCGGTCTCCCTCTCAGTCACTCTGAGCACCATCCTTCTGTGTCAAATGGGTGGGCGAGAGTTTAAATACCGGTGTGGGAGTCCTTCTCCACTGTATCTTCAGACAGCCTCCCAAAGGGGAAGCTTAGGAGCGAGTGGGCAGGTGCCAGGACTGGAACCAGAGGGTGGGGCTCCTCGGGCATTTCTTCCCTTGCAGGAGGGAAGAGCCGAGGTCTTCCAAGGGCCTTTGGCCAAGGAGCTGAGCAACGGCACCAACCATGGAAGGCTGCTGCCTCTTGTCTTGCCCAAGGACTGGTGGGAGGCCATGTGGCCTAACCCTGGAAGCTGCAAAAGGAAGGGGAACCAGGGAAGAAGGACCCGGGGGGGGGGGGATCTTGGGCATGGGAGAGCGAAAGTTGGTGAGGAGGCAGAGTGGCGGCAGCAGCAGCACAGGGGCCCAAGGTAGAGCGTGCCACCTCCCAGGCAAGCAGCGGCCAGCCTGCACACTTCCACAGAACGGCTGAGGAAAGAGAGGTGGGCTGCCTCCCCCCCTCCCCCTCCCTCAGGGTTTCCTTGGGTTGAAACAAGCCCAGCAGGCCGGAGGCTGCAGAAGTCCACGGTGGCCACAGCACACGTGCCAGCACACGCCCAGGGCCTCCGACAGCTACAGGGAGGCCTCGGATGTCCAGACTGCATTCCCCCTCCTCATTTGCACTAGCAGCCCTGGAGGCTCCCCACTGCAGCAGCCTTCCCTGCCGACAACCGAACCGATTCACAGGCAGGGCCCATTTATCCACCAGTGACAGACCCCCACCCCACCCCCGGGGAGGGGGGAGGGGGGATCTTGGGCCCGGCAGAAGCTCCCTTCAGTGCTGCTGCTGCTGCTGCTGCTCCCAGGACTTTCCTTGCCCTTCTACCCCGACCAGCAGCAGGCAGGGGTGGGCGTCCTGGTACGAAGCAGCGAGGGCTGTGCCAGCTCTTTCCACACCCTTTCCCCCCTGTGCCCGGGGAGTTCCCGGCTCTCAGCTGGGCAGCCAAGTTAGAACCTGGACAGACAGACCGATAACTATTTGCAGTGTGGCTCCCAACCTTTTGCCTGGCAGGAGGGGCAGCCTTTGAGATTGGCACACAGAAGTCCCGCAAGAAACATTCCGGCGGTGCCCGTGGCCGTTTCATTTGGGAGACCAATGAAATAGCTGTGCAGGGTGTTGTTCTCTTTTATTCATAAAACACTTGGACAACTTGAAAAACGATCCCCACCCTTCTGCTCTCTGCCTAGAAAATGAACGTATAAAATCTTTCCAGGATGAGGTTTCTATGGGGCTGGGGGCTGCGCTGACCCCACCAGCCTGCCTTCCCCCAACTGCTGGTGAGCAATGCTGGGTTCGGTGCCATTGGCGGTGCGGAAGGTCCCACGCACGGCTTGGCAATGGAAGCGCTCTGGGCCAAGAGAGCTGCCTGTGCCCACCCCTCCTCCTGCCAGTGCAGCTCCAGGCTCAGCTGCTGTTGTGGCTGTTGGTTTGCAGCATGAACCTCCTGGCACGCGACGCCTCCCCTCCGTCCGAGCCCATGGAGTCCCTCTCCATCACCCACCGGGACTACAGGCAGGAGGGCTTCCATCCTGAGCCCCTGCCCCCCACCCAGGTAAGGGGCTCTGCGGGCCAGAGTAGCAGTCAGGCTCCCCACCCCTTCCCTCCTGGACACGCCCCAGTAGCTCCCCTGACGTCCTCTCCTCTTGCAGCCCCACGACTACCGGCTGGAACAACCACAGACATTCTGGCTTGAACATGCCCAGCAGGTGCCGGTGAGTGCCACCCTGATGTTGCCATGCCTTTGGTGCCCGCTCCCATGAGGCTCGTCCTTGAGAGGCTGCAAAGGACGGGGCAGGTGGGCAGGCAGCCCAGGCACCTGTTGTTCTAGCATGGAGGGTATGTTCTGGCCACGAGGGCGGGTGACGCATGCCAGGAAGGCAGCTCCGCCCCCCCCCCCCACGCCGGCTGCTCTTCAGCCTCTTTGTCCCTCTCCACAGGGCACCTCCAGCATCCGGACGGGCGACACCCCTTTCAGGAAGTGCGCAATGTTCACCACCCCCGTCTCGGAATGCCTCGACCAGCCGTAGCTGTACGGCCCAGAAAACGTCCCCCGGCCTTGAAGGCTTCCTTGCCACCCCCCGGGCCAGTGGGAAAGCACCGAGCTTATGTGGGTGGAGGGGGGTGCAGAGACCCTTCCTCAAAGGGTTGATCACCCCAGTTAAATTCCTGCAAGAGCTGGAGGCCCAACCACCAGAGGGGTTTCCAGGCGGCTTCCTTGTGGTTCTCCCACCACAGAAGCAGCGGGGGCTGGACGGGCCCTTCCCTGTCCTTCCTCTTGCTAAAGGGAGGAGGGGGATGTTCTCCCCTCCCTCTTTCTATTCGGCCAAAACTGCTTGCCTGGTTCCTGCATTTGCAGCCAAGGGGGAAAATGAGGGCTGGCTCAGCCAGCTGAGCCGGGGGAGGGGCATCGAATGGGGCCAGGAGCCCCAGCTGGCAAAGGGCATCTGCAGCTGGTCAGCAGGTGGGTTCCTGCTGCCTGGCTGGGCAGGGAAGACCCCTTGGTGTCTGGGACAGCGACAGCCCCCCCTCCCCTCCGCCTGCTCCAGGCCCAGCCACTGCCTCTCCAGGCGTGAAGCCATCCTTCCCTGCAGGCTGGCCACTGTTGCCCCCCCCCCCCGCCCGCCCCCCTGCTCCAAGGCAGAGCAAATCCACCAGGAGTTCATGGGAGCAGCTGCTCCTGCCAGTTCCCCGCAGAGGGAGGGCCGCCCTCAGATGACGGCCGCCTTCTCTTCGCCCAGCAGCCAGTAGGTCCTCATCTTCCCTTTGCCCTGCCGGGAAGAAACGGGTGTGTGCGTGAGGGGCTCTTGCCCCCTTTCTGGCAATGCAGCCCACCCCTTGGAGCATGGAAGGGCGGGGCCGGCCTGCTCCTTCCCACACCCACCTTCATCTCCACGTCCCCCCGGAGCTCCAGCAGAAAGCAGCCAAACTCGTCCAGGATCTCCTTGGTGGCAGCAGAAATGTGGATCTTTAAGGCTGGAAGGAAGGGGGCAGGGGAGTGAATGCCCTCCAGGATCCCCCGGCCAGATGGCCCAGCAGAGCCTTGGGGTCCGCAGCAGGACAGAGGACCGCAATAAAGTGGATTAAACTAGGGAAGCTTGAACTGTCCTGTTGGGACCCCTCTTGCCCTCCAGGAGAAGCAACAAGGCCTCTGGGAAACGGGGTGGCGCTGAGCTGGATTGCATCCCGCTGGAGCATCTGCTGAAGGGGAAAGGAAATTCACAAGGAAGCTGGGGGTGGGGTGGGGGGCTGGAAAGAGGGCAGGGGGGAGAAGCACCAGCAGCAGGGGAGGGGATGGTGAGGGGGGGGCTGCAGAAAGAGCAGGGAGGGGGGTCTCACCCTCGCCATTGGACTCCATGCGTGAAGCCGTGTTGACCGTGTCCCCAAAGAGGCAGTAGCGTGGCATCTTGAGGCCCACCACTCCTGCACACACCGGCCCTGCAGGGAGGCAGAGGGGGGCGGCTGAACTGCTGGTGCTCTGCGCATGCTCAGGTGAGGCGGGCCACCCTCGCCCACCTCAGACTCACCGGAGTGGACCCCGATGCGCAGACACAGCTGCTCACTGGGCCGGTGCCGGATGTGGAAGGTCTTCACAGCCTCCAGGAGTGCCAGGGCCATGCGGACGATCTCGTGGGCGTGGAGCTTGCCATTTCGGACAGGCAGGCCGGACACCACCATGTAGGCATCACCAATGGTCTCCACCTACGGCCAGGGCCCAGAAGCAGGGTGAGGCCGGGGGGGGGGGGAACGACTCCCTGCAGTGCTGCTGTGAGCCTGGGATCAGCCAGGAAGGGGCCCCAGCCCAGCCCCACAAGGCTCACCTTGTAGACATCGAAATTGTCAATGATGGCATCGAAGCAAGTGTAGAGATCATTGAGGAGTGTCACCACCTGTGGGGGGGGGGGGGTGCAGAGAGAGAGACAGGGGAGCTGGCTGGGCAGGTGAAGGGAGTCTAATGTAGCAAGAGCAGGTGGCTGTCCGGGGCCAAGACCAGGCGAGGCTGTGACCCTCAGGCATGGCAGTTCCTGCAGATTCCCCGGGCAGATGGATCGACATTTTTGGGACAGTGAGAAGAGACCAATTAGAAAAGTTGATAGAGAAGGACCACAATGGAGCCCCACATGCCCAGGCCCTGCAGGAGGGGCGAGCGAACACTGGGAGTGGGATTAATAGCCCTCTTGGCCTTTCCTCTGCTTCCCAATAGCTGCGTTCACGCAACCCCCTAAGCCAGCACGGAAACCCGACTGCTGTGTTTGTGTAATACGTTCCACCGAAGCAGGGATCCCCGAGAGGACTTGAAAGCAGCATCTGGATTCACAGGCAGTCCAAACCCCAAGGGGTTTTGCAAGAGCATAGCCGCTGAGCTCTATGGGCTATGGTTATAGCCATAGACCAGCAACAGTGAACCTTTGGGGTTCAGAATGTCAAAAATTCAGAAAATGTCCACCTTGATTCTGTGGCATCTAACTCACCGCCGCTCTCTGCTCAAAAGAGGCCTCTTCAGACCTCCCCTCTCCTCCCCTCCCCTCTGGACTATATTCCCAGGCCCCTCAGAGAACCCTCAACTTCCAGAGTGTCACCGAACATGGCATGGTGTGTCGCCTATGACACACATTCCATAGGTTCACCATCACTGCAATAGGCCCTTCCCCTTCTTCCATGAATTGGTAGCTACGTAAGTATCAGCCTTCTGCCATGCGCCAGCCATCTTTATTGGTGGCAGCACCACGTTCAGGGCTCCACATCTACACTGGGTGAGGAAAACAAACCCCAGCCCAGCCCTTAAGCGGAGGAACCAGAGAGCTCCCCACGTCCAAGGGGAAACTGTCTAGGGGGACTCTGTCCTTGGACCTGCTCCAGCCAGTGGGTGGTGGTGGGGAAGAGACTTTCCCAAGCCCAAACCAAAGCGGACCAGAGTCAGCTGCATCCATTTCAGGCATGCAAGGGATTACCCCGCCCCCCCCCCCGTGCTGCAGCCTACCTGCATGGGGGTGCTCTCTGCTGACAAGGAGGTGAACCCTACAATGTCGCTGAAGTAGATGGTGACACAATCGAAGGCCTCAGCCTGCACCGTCTCACCCCGCTTCAGCTGCTCAGCCACCGAACTGAGGGGTAGAAAAGACAGGAGCTGCTGACCTCCCAAGCAGGAGACTGTCTCAGGCCCGGAGCCCCAGCGGGAGGCCGGCGGAAGCTGGACTCACTGGGGCAGGATCTGGTAGAGCAGATTCTCTGCCTTGCGCTTCTCCTCCAGGTAGGCCTGCGTGCGCTCTTCCACCAGTTTCTCCAGGTTGTTGGCGTACTGCTCCATGCGCGACAACAGGTTGTCCAGGATGCTGGTACTTCCTTCCCTGAGGCAGAGGAGGAGGGCAGGGTCCGTGGTGGTGCAGGCAGGGTGAGGGGAAGGGAAGGGTGCCAGGACTGGGTATGGCAGGCGCTATGCCATTACATTCCTCACCCCGGAAGCCTTTGGATGAGAGGCAACCCTGCTATAGGTGGGGGACTCTGCCCTGCTGGGGAGCCTCAGCCAGGCCCTGACTTCTCCTGTGGGTGGGTGGGTGGAGAGGCCACCTGCCTCCTTGGGGAGGGAGCTATCTGTCAGCCGAGCCACAGAAGTGCCTGAGAAAGCCAAGCTGGCTAGATTTGGGGCCTGGGGCCTGTTCTGGGGACCCCCATCCCATTGTCTCCATCTCAGGGATCCAGCAGAAAGTCTTTGGGGGCCTCCCTGTGGGGACCCTCAGTCCACGTTCAGTAGAAGAGGGAGAGTCTCTCCAGGGCCAACTGGAACCTCCTTGAGGTACACCTGCATCCCAGGGGAAGACGACCCTGGGAGGGTTGCAAGCAGGCGCCTTGCGGGGCCGTGTGGGGAGGAGACCTTCTGCACTTCCCTGCCTGGAGGGTCAGAAGCTGAAGCAGGCTTCTTGTGCACACACACGTGTGCATACACACACACCAATCCCCTAAGGTGGGAGAAGGAGACCTCCTTACCTGTTGAACCGCCGGATGAAGACTTTAATCTGGGCGAAATCTGGGCGCTCGGCCGGCTGCTGAGCCCAGCACCGCTCCATCAGCACAGCCAGCTCCTCGCTGTGCAGACGGGTGTCGATGGTGGGCCGGAAGTAGGGCAGCTGGCTGTTGCCCACCTTCTGCACAATCTCTGGGGGGGAGGAGTAGGGCGGGATGCACAGGAGTGAATGTGGGGGTGATGGGATGGAGGCACAGCTGACTCGTGCGGGGAGGGGGTGACCAGCTGCTGGGACAATGAGAGAAGTGAACATGGCAATCCTGGGGGTGGGGGGGTGGATGAGGACGGAGGGGGGACTGGAAAGACAGAGGTCACAGGTCAAACCAGCGTGGTCACAAATAGAACCCAGCCAAGGGCACAGCCAGCAGCAGCCCCTCTTTTACCATTCTCTGGTGTGGAAACCCCACCCCCCATCTTGCATTCAGACATTACTTCCCTGCCTCTTCTACAGCACTGCTCAGGCGGCTGGCCCCACTGCTGAACCCATCCAGGCCGGAGGATTCCCTGGCTGCAAGACGGCAGGGCGTGGCGGGAGGGAGGGACAGGCTGCCTTCGCTGCCTTCCTGGTTCTCCAGGCTGAGGCAGGAGGCGTAAACCAGCATCCCACTTCCTGGTCAGCGCAAGCTGGAGGTGGGCAGGGCTGGCGTTTGGGCTTCCGCTCCGACCCCCGGCCCCTCCTCACCCTTGGGACTGAGCTCTATGCCCTCCACGTAGAAGGCGCCGCTGCGCAGCGCTATCTCCTGCAGGATGATCCCAAAGCTGTAGACGTCCGCCTTCTGCATGGCCAGGGGCAGCGGGAGCAGCGTCCCCTTCTGCAGCAGCTCTGGGGCCGTCCACAGCTTCTCTGGAGCAGGAGCCAGAGAGTCTGGGTCAGGGGGTGCGGGGCTCGGGCTTCCCCAGGGGACAGGCAGGAGGGGCTGGCCGGGCACTCACTGGCGTAGAGCGCGTGGTTGCCCTCGCTCTCGTGGCCCTGGCGGAAGCTGGCCAGGCCATAATCCGTGATCTTGAGCACGAAGCGGCTGTCCACCACG